CTGCATTTGGAAGCAATGGCTCTGTCCCTGAAGCAGTCAGAAAAATGGAGTAAGTAGGAGCTAAGGGACTTGGGTCACACAGGTTGGCCCAAATCTCAGATCTTGACAAACACCACCTTGGCCAATGCCATCCAGCCCCGAGGCTCCCTGCTGCCTTGGGGGCGGGCAGGGCAGAGGCTGACCTTTGCTGGCCAGGGCCCTTCTGCAGCCAGGAGAAGGCTCAGAGGAGCCCTGCTCTTGGTCACTGGCCATAGCACCAGGCCCCACCCCCACCCCCGCCCCTGGCCCACCCAGGGCTCCTGCACTATGGCTGCCAGGGTTCCCCATAGAAGCAGGCAGGCTCCTGAGCACCTCTGTTAGCGAAGGAACAGAGGGGACACTCAGCCAGAAAAGACCAAGTGGGACTCGACCCTCGGATTCCCGTCACCCTGCCCCAGGGCATCAAACTTGGATTTGAAGCCCCTGAAATGCCTCTTTTTCCAACTGTGTAGTCATTTATCTGTGATGAATACAGACGAGATGAAGGTTTAGTTCCTTGAAGTGAATTGTCATTGAACGACCTCAAGAATTTTAAAATAGCTTTTTTCCCCCGATCATGAAAGGCATACTCACTTTGTGCTTGAAAAAAACCAAAACAAATAAACCCAAATCACAAAATACAGAAACGTATAAAGGAAAAGTAAAGATGACTCATGATCGTATCACTCACATACGCCCACCGTCACCTTAGGGAACCTGTGCTGGTAGGTTATTTCTATACAGGCATGAAAACCTGACCATGTGCCCGAGGGCTTTTTCTTGAACCAAAATAAGAACAAGTGATATATTGTTTTTAACTTGCTGTTTTTGTCCTAATAAAATGGATGAGTTTCCAGGTTAACAACAGTAGATCTATATTTTCAGCTTTGGTTTGCTTTGGAAGCTGCCTAGTATTTTGCTGCAGAGATATAAACATTTTTAAAAAAATCAATTCCTATTAGTGACCACCTTGTAATATTAAGCTTTGATGAATTTATTTTTCACTTTAGTTATATTGACCTGGGTTTTTTTTTTTTCTGAACTTGAATAAGAAAATGTGAAATATTTCTATTTTTTAAAATGTGCTTTATTTTTTAATGTGGTAGATTCCTGGGAGTGATTATATCATCTCCTTTATATTTTTTGTTATAAATTAAATGTTTAATAACATTGTTTTGAAACCACTGGAATGAATATGATAATGCAGCTTTCAAAGGAACTCAAAATCGGAGCTTAGAAAACTCTATACTTTGGAGAACCTCTTTAGATAGTCTTCATTGTACCTACACAGAATTATCAATCATACCTATGCAAATTTATTTCACTTAATTAAGTGTGGAAATTTTAGTTTGTAAGATATACACAGGCAAATATCACAAATGTTTTTTCAAAGCAAGGAGAGACAGTAATTCAGATTTTTCCTACCTACTTTTTATATGTTCACTTGCTAAAACAGACAAGAAATTTGAAACTTATTTAAGGATTTTGAAGTCAATAATGTTTGCTCTTGAAAACTCCCACGTTTTTCTATTTTCAAGGCCCTATTTTAAAGTCTGGTCCTTATTTGAAAACAAAGCAAGTTGTAAACACAATATTGAAAATCCAAGATAATATAATCAGACTCTCCCCGTTTAATGTTAGGACAATCGGGTTCAAAAAATATTTTAGGAACAAAATCAAGGAACAAATTACAAATTTTGAGGAGAATCTCTCTGAAGCTTTATTTCAGATTAATAGATTGATAAATAGGGTTGATTTTTGGAAGACATATAAACTTTCAATGCTTTGCAAAATTTTTTAAAGTTTAAAATTAAGACCTGTGTTCTTCTATATAAGTCTCTATCTATGTTCATGGGCATTATTCTGTAAGTGGTTTTTAAATTTCCCCTCACTACCTACCCGTTCTCCTATGCCAAAAGATATATTTTATTTTATTTTAGCTAATAAAATTTATGCTCAAAAATCTATCTTAAATACGAATAAGAGAACAGTTCCCTTATTCAGGGAGATGTTTGTAATATACTGTTAATTGGGCAGAGAAGAAGGATATAAAATCGCACATACATTATGTTATGTGAAAATTCAAGGGAAGAAATATAAGAAAATGAGCAAAAATCAATTAGTGGCCAGAGTGGTGCAAGGGTGGATTTATTTTTCCTTTTTCCTACATTCCAAGTGTTTTGTGATTTTATTTGCTTATGGAAAAAAAAACTCCGAAATTAAAAGACATTATAAGCACAAAATAATACAAAATCTATTTAATCTTCTCTTCCAAAAATATTTTGGTTTTTTAATGCTTATTAAAGTAACTTAAGTTCATGGTGTAAACATGAGATACTTCAAAAACTGTAAATGAGGAAGTTAAAAAATGACTGCAATTCCAAAATTTAGTCACAGTCACCATTAACATTTTGGTGTATGTACTTTCACTTTTTGTAAATGAATAATTGTTTAATCGGAATTCAATTGTGTAATTGGAATTCAAGTATACATAGAGTTTTTTTTTTCTTTCTCCTTAAACATCATCAACATTTCCCATGACATTATATTTGTTTCAAATATATTTGTAATGGTTAAGAGACTTCAACATGAATAGCCTATAATGCATATCATTATTTTACCATTTTGTCAACATAAGCTGCTTTCCCTGTCTTGATTTTACAAATCATGCTGCATTGCACATCATTGTACATAAAATTTTCACTTTTCTCTGGTTATTTCCTTGAGGTGAAGTCCTAGAAATGAAATGACGAGGTCAAAGGATAAAAACATTTAAGAAGCTCTTCCTGTTTTTTGGAACTGCCTGACCAAAAGGTGGCTTTAATTTATGCACCTGTGGGCAATGAAAGTATCTTTTAATTCTAAAAAAGGAAAAAAAAAGTTTAAGATTTTAAAAGATAAAAACTACACCTCATTGTTTTTTGTTGGCATGCTTGGTTATTGGGAAGGCGCTCTGCTCTACTTGTCGGCCAGCTGTTGCTCTGTGAATTATGTATTCAAGTCCTTGGCCCATTTTTTTTCCCTGTAAGGATGCATTTATTTCTTATCCATTTTAATCAGTTCTCTATACACCAGAAATATTATTATTTTAGTTATAGCATTTATGAAAAATATTTCTCCATATTGTTCTTTCAGTTTTAATATTATTACCCACTTTTGTCACACACAAGTTTGCATTTCACATGGTAAAATATGTTGGCTTTGCCCCTTGTGATTTCCTCCATGGTTTTTACGTGTTAAAAGAGCATGTATGTACTCATCAGAATGTTTCAGCTAGATTTTTTAATGTCTTTTTTTAAAATCAGTTAACTTTTTAGTTCATCTGGAATTATTTTGATGAATGGCGTGAAATATAAATGAAGGTTGACTTTTCCTAAACATCCAATTTTTCCATTATAGTTACTAATATTCTCTTTGCCCATTAATTTGTGATTCTTTTTATCATGTGAGACAGTTGTACAAGAGTCCACTGTCTGGACCAATCTCTATTTTATGGATCGATCTGTCTCTTCTTGAACCAACATGCCACATTTACATTGACACCTTATCTTTTCATATTTGGTATGGCAACTTTTCCGTATCATTGTGTTTTTCAAAAACGTCTTAGTTATTCTAATTTATTCATGTAGATGAAATTTAGGATTTTGATACCTATTCCCCAAGCACGTGAATTTTTGCTTGGTACTACATTTGTTCAGTCTCCTCACCCGGCATCACGGTGTACCTGTAGTTTTCCTATATAAATCCTGTTCAAATTGTTAGAAATTCCTATTTTTAAGAAATTGATGCCTCTTTCGTGTTCTCACTTTCCAGATGACAAAGAAAAGAAGAAACAAGGGTCCTGCCAAACTCCCACCCTAATTTCCACCTGTGGGTGCTGCCCTGTGACCTCCACCAAAGCCCAAGTAAGAGTGGAGTCCTTGAGGACTGAGGAAAAACTATCCTTTGGAAAAAAATAAAATGGAAATTGCACTTAAAAGCCCTGTCCAGGCTATTATTGTTGGAATAACAGAAAGAAAGTGGTATTTTTTTTTTTTTTTTTTTTTTTTTTGAGACAGAGTCTCACTTTGTTGCCCAGGCTAGAGTGAGTGCCGTGGCGTCAGCCTAGCTCACAGCAACCTCAAACTCCTGGGCTCGAGTGATCCTTCTGTCTCAGCCTCCCGAGTAGCTGGGACTACAGGCATGCGCCACCATGCCCGGCTAATTTTTTGTATATATATCAGTTGGCCAATTAATTTCTTTCTATTTATAGTAGAGACGGGGTCTCGCTCTTGCTCAGGCTGGTTTTGAACTCCTGACCTTGAGCAATCCGCCCGCCTCGGCCTCCCAAGAGCTAGGATTACAGGCGTGAGCCACAGCGCCCGGCCTGGTATTTTTTTTAAATGTTTTTGTTTTGCTATTATTATTGGAGTAACAGAAAGAAAGTGGTATTTTTGCTGTTGTTGTTGTTGTTAATGCTTTTGCTTTGCTATTCATCCCATGCACGGCCACTGGCAGAGCTCTACTGCGGACCCTGAGGACGTTCGGATGCCTGTTCCCGGCGTTCGCGGCGTGCGTGGGCCGCCTCACCTGTGGCCCCACCTGCAGACGGTGATGCTGGAGTTCGCGGCCTGCGCCAGGTGGCGGAAAGGTGGCCAGTGTCGAGTGACAAAGCACCCCGTTTTACCCTCGACTTTCGTGGGAGGCTCGGGGCGTTTCACAGGCGCACTCTGTCGCCCCGGACGGACTGAAACAGCTTTTTAGGAGCCGCGTTCGGAAACGTCTCCCACGCGGATGACACACAGAGCTACAGACCCGGAAATTCCACGCGCAGAGCCCGCTGAGGTTCTTGGATACCCATCGGCCAGTCGTCGCCGCAAAGGGAGAAATCCAGGGCCACGGGGCGGGGCTTCGTCCGAGCCAAGCCCCGCCCACAGCCGCAGCCGCGCATGCGTCCGCTCCAGGGCCGGCGCCTTCTGGACCCTCGCGCGTGCCGTTCTTACCCGGCCTGCCCCGCGCAGCCGCTCCCGGAAGTGGGCTTGGCGTCCTCAGGAGCGGTGCGGAGGTGCCCGAGCCTCGCGGGTTGGCCCTGGCCGCGCAGGGTGGCAGGAGCCCGGGGGGCGGGGGCGGGCCGCTGCCGCCATGGCTGGGAGCCAGGACATGTTCGACGCTATCGTGATGGCGGATGAGAGGTGGGTGGCGAGGCCGGACCCCCGCCGCGCGTTAGGTCCTCGCTCAGCTGACGTACCGCTGGCTGCGGGCTGCGACGGCCGCTAGTGCCTGCGTCCTGCGGGCGTGCGTGTGCCTTGGGAGAGCGCCTTGTGACCCTGAAAACAGGGGACAAGGGTGGGGCCGAGATGCTATTGATTCTCCTTTACGCCTCGGCCCCCCCTGCGGGGCCACGTGCCCAGCTGCTCTTCCAGACCCGCCTCCCCTATCAGGGGCTGCCCCTAGCATCTGCTCGGCTGGCGACTCCCTTCCTCCAGGGACGCCCCGGCCTCTGGTGGGACAGAACTTTGCCATCTGGGAGCTGCCACTTTTTCTTGTTCATGAATCGTAGGACATACGGCAGTATTCACGGACATGCTGATGAATGTGACAGACGTCATCCCTTTCCCTCTAGAGCCCCCTGGGAACACCTAGTGCTATGACAGCAGGGGACATGTGAGTGGCCTTGTGGCGGACGTCCAGCGCCTGGCCCACGGGAGACGTCAGTAGATGTCAGTTAAGAAAGCAAGTGAACAGTCAGTCGCTGACATTTGTTTAACACTACTATGAGTCAGACACTGAGCTAAGTGTTCTTTCGACTCCAGTCATATATCTTAGTCCTACTTAGGATGTAGATCCCATTACTCTCTCTAATTTACAGATAAGGAAGCACAGTCACTTCCCAGGGTCACACAACTAAGTGGGGAGCTATACACTCAGCTTCATGAGGTGCATCAAAAAGCTCCTTTCATCTTTGGTGACTGTAGGTTAAGAGTGCCATTTCCACCGCTGAGCCCCAAAGGTCAGTGCTGTCCCAGATACATCATACTTTTGTGGTGATCTGATGGCATTTCTCTCTTATTCTACTGAGTTATGAAAAGCCCTGTATATGTTGCAGAGTTTTTGTTTGTTTGTTTTTGGAAATGATTGACTTGAGTGAGTGTTACTTGCAGATAGAACTTTAGCTCCTTAACCTGGCTTCACACCAGACCTCCCTAGGAGATTTTGGAAAATAGATTCCTGGGCATTACTTCAGACTTGTTGAATGTTGGGGGGAGGCTTTTGAGTTCATATCTTTAAATTTTCCTTGTGTGTTTCTAGTACTCCACCAGGTTTGGTAATCACTAATTTAGCCCTTCATTGTAGACAAAGAAAATTGAGCTTCAAGAGGTACAGTGACTTGCTAGAGGAGAAACTTAGGAAATGCTAAACCTGGAACTGGAGCCTGCGTCCTGTGATTTGAGTTTTAGGCTTTTTCTGCTATACTTTGTCTTGTCTTATCGAGTCTGGGTAATATAAGAGAGAAAGGTTTCTCTGGGAAAAAAATACTCTTTCTCATGTTTGATGAAGTGTGCTGCTTCTTCACAGGTTTCATGGGGAAGGGTATCAGGAAGGCTATGAAGAAGGCAGTAGTTTGGGTATAATTGAAGGAAGACAATATGGCACGTTACATGGAGCTAAAATTGGATCTGAGGTAAGTAGGGACACCCCACTCGGGAATGAATCGTCTTCATTTATGGGATATAATTTACTTTGATGTTCAGTATGATTGAGTCAGAATGTCAGGGCTCTCAAAATTGCAGTCTTTGTGGGAGTTAATAGATTAGATAGGTTTTTTTTTAAGGGACAAGGTCTTACTCTGTCGCCCAGGCTGGAGTACAGTGGCACAGTCATAGCTCACTGCAGCCTTGAACTCCTGTGCTTAAGCGATCCTTCTGCCTCAGCTTCCTGAGTAGCTGGGACTACAGTTGTGTGCCACCACACTCAGCTTAGATAGAGCATTGATGAAGAAATATTGTTTGTATAGAACAGATAAAGCATGTTACTGTATAGAGAGAGTTAAATTATGCAGGCTGGTGAATGAGAAAACAAGTTCTTGGTCTCCGTAGTTTAGAGTATCCTGATGCTGTCTGAAGTCTTTTGTTTCTTTTTATTTATTTATTTATTTAGACAGAGTCTCACTCTGCTGCTTGGGCTAGAGTGCCGTGGCATCAGCCTACCTCACAGCAACCTCAAACTCCTGGGCTAAAGCAATCCTACTGCCTTAGCCTCCTGAGTAGCTGGTACTACAGGCATGCACCACCATGCCTAGCTAATTTTTTCTGTATATTTTTAGTTGTCCAGCTAATTTCTTTCTATTTTTTTAGTAGAAATGGGGTCTTGCTCTTGCTCAGCTGGTCTCAAACTCCTGAGCTCAAATAGTCCTCCCACGTTGGCCTCCCAGAGTACTAGGATTACAGGCGTGAGCCACCACAACTGGCTTGTCTCAAGTCTTAAGCCAGCTGAATCCTCACCCAAAAAATGGTGAAGCTATTCCTTTGTCATGTGAAGATATTCCATTTACATTTACCTTGAAATTATATAAAATCCATCATTTTTCTTTTCTTCTTGCTCTTTTTTTCCTGGATTGGCCCTCACTTGCAGATAACTGATCTTAAGTGACAAGATCTGAGTTGAAGCAGTTAAGACTGTATTAGGTAGCTGATGCTGCAGAACAGGCCCCCACAAAATGCATGTGCTTAAACAATAGCAAACATTTATTACCTCACACAGTTTCTGAGGATCAGGAACTCAGGAGCAGCTTCACTGGGTGGTTCTGGCTCAGAGTGTCTCATGAGGCTGCAGCAGGAATGTCAGCCTGGGCCTGACTGGGGCTGGAAGAGCTGCCCCTGAGGTGGTGCACTCACATGACCAGGGGCATGGCCCCCTCCACAGGGCATCTGGAGTGTCCTCATGACATCCAGTAGCAGGTGGCCCAAGAAAGCAAGCCAGGCAAAAGTGACATTGTCTTCTATATCTTGCCTCAGAAGTCATGTGCTGTCCCTTCCTCCATATTCTGTTGGTTATACAGGCCTCTACTGCTGGTAGAGTGTCAAGGGGACTGCACAGGGCACGAGTGCCAGGGGATGAAGAGTACTGGGGCCATCTTGGAGGTGGGCTGCCCCACTGATGATTTTACTTCCTGACTTCTATTGCTGGTGCTCAACAGGTACTTCCAGAACAATGATATGAGCAGCACCATTACCCTCTGTTTTCACCTTTCATTTTGAGAATTGGTGATCAGACAAAGTATAGCTAATTGCTTACTAATTTCACTCTTAAATATCTTTTCAATTCACAGATCGGGTGTTATCAAGGTTTTGCTATTGCGTGGAAATGTCTCTTGCACAGTTGTGCCACTGAGAAAGACAGGTAAAATTGGGGACTTCTTTTGCAGCATATGGACCAGGAGTTCTGGTTCTATAGTTTACTAACGATGACCTTGGGTCATTAATCTGTCTGTTTTCTCATCTGTAAAATGGAGAAAATAATAATGTCAAACTTGAATATCGTTAGGAGATTTAAAGGAAATAATAAATAGGAAGTGCCAGATATATTTTAGGTGTTCGATGGATACTGGTTGTTATTACTTCTGGAAAGAGTTCTCATATTCTCCCGCCTTTTCCCTGGAGTCATCAGTGCACCACGTGGCTTTTGAATACCCTGCCAATAAAATTATGTTAAAATTCATTATATCTTCTCATTCTTCTTTCCCCTGAGCTTCTAATAAACAGATTACAATAATCTTGGGATGACTTGGGCTCAGAAATGGTGACTCCATTGTCACCAGTTTTTTAATATAGCCAACTATATGAAAAACTCTCTGTTAATGAGATTATATATTTAAATGTGCTTAACTCAATTCTGGTACTTGTAATCACTAAATAAATGTTAGCTATTATTTGAATTGTTTTTAGCCTTTTAAAACTATCCTTTCTATGTTCTACCTACTTAATGCCCTGTGACCCTGTTTCATCTGTCTTCGGTCTTAAGCTGGAAGTGAACCTTTAGGTAGAAGGTATAGGTGGTCTGGCCACTCTGCTGCTTGTGGGAGACAGAAAAACTGGACTTTGCTGGCACTTTGCATCATTCTGACACCTGGTGGCTTTGCCTAATATGAGAGAGGCATGAGGGGAGTGGACAACAAACAACAGGAAAGGTGGCATTCCCTGTCTGTGTGTGACTTGTCCTTTTATGTGAAATATTTAGAATTTCCAGAATGTGGGCCACACCCATAGTCAAGTGTAAGAACAGGGGTGCTTGCAACTGAGTATGGGTGGCTCTGTCTCCTTGGATGAGCAGTTGGGAGTTGACCAGATTCTTATGTTAGCAGAGGGACACTTTGGGGGATTTCCTCTGAGTACTAGGAGCGGTAGGGCTGCTGGGGATGCAGTTGGAGTCGTCGTTGGCAGCCTGTGCCACCACTGGGTGGCGGTCAAAGCTGAACCTGGCGCTTGACTCTAGGCCACAGGAGGAGGAGAGGCGCTGTCTTTGAGTTTGTCCCCTGCCTCCCCTTCTCCGTCACGCCAGTCTCTGGCTTATGGAGAAGTGCTTTCTTGTGTGTGAATTGGTGCCACACCAGGAGGTTGCCAGCCCTTGCCCCAGAGCAGCGTGTCCTAACGTCTTAAAGCAGTGCCCCCAGTCTAACAGATAGAGAAGGAGCCACTGTGGTCGACGAAGGGCTGGTGGAGCCCTGCCAGACACACCTTGCTGCCGCCTCCACCACACCAGCGCTACCCGAAGGTTTCTTTGGAACCTAAGGCCTTTGTGCTCGGGCAGCGGTTCACAGATGTTTGGATTTTATTAGTCAGTATGATTTTTAAAAAATGGTAAAGAGCTGGTAAAGGATCTTTTACTTTTTAGTTTTTCCAAATCAGGATATTAAAAGAAAAACACCTGCCATCTGTGTTGTCATTCAGTAAAAGAATGAGTATTTTTTTTTTTTTTTTTGAGACAGAGTCTCACTTTGTTGCCCGGGCTAGAGTGAGTGCCGTGGCATCAGCCTAGCTCACAGCAACCTCAATCTCCTGGGCTCGAGTGATCCTTCTGCCTCAGCCTCCCGGGTAGCTGGGACTACAGGCATGCGCCACCATGCCCGGCTAATTTTTTATATATATATCAGTTGGCCAATTAATTCCTTTCTATTTATAGTAGAGACGGGGTCTCGCTCAGGCTGGTTTTGAACTCCTGACCTTGAGCAATCCGCCCACCTCGGCCTCCCAAGAGCTAGGATTACAGGCGTGAGCCACAGCGCCCGGCCAAAGAATGAGTATTTTAACACCAAAGAAACCACAGAGATTGATATCTCAGACGAAGAGGTGGGCTTTCAGTCAAGTGACTAGCTTTTTGAAAACTGTGCGAGACGTTCCCAGCCCACATTTGAGCCGCCTGGCGGACCCTCGTGCAGACGGCACTTGCCGGGGCCAGGTTTGGCACCAGCAGCCATGAGCTACTCACTGTCACACCCTCCCCCGTGCGCTGACTGACTGTGAGCCTGGCTGGGTGTGTTCGGAGTCACGTCATTGACCAGAGCAGAATAAGTCACTACTTGCAAAGTTGGAAATGGGTGGGACTCTTTGTGTCTTGTTAGAATGTGGCCATTTCCCACATTTTGGCATCTGCCTTCAGTCTCCCTGGGAACCAAGTACTTTGTTGCTTAAATTAACTTGCTTTGACCTTTCACAATTTTGCACTTTCTCAAATAGGTAGCAATCTTAGTTAAAAAACTGGTTTGCCATTGGCGAACTTACTTATCTGTGTGTCTGAAAGCACTGACTAAGTACCATTAGCATGTATGCAGGAGGTCATGGTTGCTTTGAATAGCACTTGATTCGTGCCAACAATCAGTTCTTTAAAATTCCCATTTATCAAATGGCGAGCACACTGCAGACACTCGGATGCTCAGGTGTGGTGTGAGGGAGGTGCGCTCCTTGGGATCCTGTGGTACATGGAAAAGGCCTGGACCACCCACCACACCTGTGAGAGTCCCGGTCTCCGGGATTTGGTAGAAGCTAGGAGACTAACATTTACTGAGCGCCTACTCTGTACAAAAGCCCAGGCTTCACATGGGTTATTGAATGCTCTTGAAAGCCTGCCTGTGAGGTTGCTGTTACTCTCCTCCTTTTACAGATGAAGACGCCGAGGTTCAGGAAAGTCCAATAACCAGTATGTGAGAGCAGCCATACTCATGGCCGCCCTGCTCCTAAGTGTGTGCCTTTTCTGTAGAACCGCCTTGCCTTCCCAGCAAAGCTCTCTGTTCTCCTTGGCAAGGAACCTCGGAGCCCAGAGACTGATCTCTGCCCTTTTGGGGGAGGGGGCTTGCTGGTTTACCTGCAGCTGGACTCCAAAGGCTGCGGGCACACACTCCAGATCCTGGAAGATCCCAGATCCAGAGCAGGCCTGCTCATGCCCAGCCACTCTCCTTCTTGCCTAGTTCTATCTGTTCCTGTGTGTGTGACCTCGAGGGCCAGCGTGGCTCGTGGGCTGCCTCAGCTGCTCAGCCCCGTAGCTGGGACAGAGGCATACCTGTAGGCTAGGAGCACACCAGCTGTCGAGGCGCTGGGTGTGGGCAGAAGCATGTTGCTAGGTAAATAAATATTTAGTGTAATGAGACAATAATCACCCAGCTTCTGAACTGAGACTTCTTAGCACTTAAGCAATCAGCATCCTTGTTACATAAGCTAAGCCTCCTGTGTACCGAGCACTAAGAGTCTTTATTTCTGTGCTTTACAGCAGAAAGATGAAAGTCTTAGAATCACTGATTGGAATGATTCAGAGATTCCCTTATGATGACCCCACTTACGATAAACTCCATGAAGACTTAGACAGAATTAGAGGAAAATTTAAACAGGTTTGTGACTGCATGCTTTTTTTTGCTCGGAGCGCTGCATTGTGTCCCTCTCTGAGACGCAGCCCGCACGTTCCCTGGGGGTTCCCTGTGCTAAGGGTCTGGGGGCTGCGCGTGCCGTGCGAACACTCGGCCGAGGCGAGTCATCTGTGTGTCGGTGTGGGAAAGCTGAAGGGTGGTGGAGAGAACAGGTGCTAGGAACTATGCGAGGTCTGGCAGCGTGGACAAGAAAAGCTGCAGCTAGAGATGGTTATGTTGTTCTAACTTGTCAGTAAAAACACGTAAGTTCTAAAAATATCAGCTCTTCTCTTTTGTGTTTTCAGCTTTGTTCATTACTCAATGTTCAGCCGGACTTTAAAATTAGTGCGGAAGGTTCTGGACTTTCATTTTGAGGATGACAGATGAACAAAGACGAAACATCAAGGAACAGATGTCCGTATGTTAAGTGTTTAAAAATGTGATTAAACGCCAAACAATGATGGAGTATTCATTGTTCCGCAGGGAGGGCTCCAGTTTGGCCAGTGAAAGGGCTTCCTTCCCCCTGAGGTTTTCTGCCTGTGTTGCCCGGCACCCCCGGGGCCTCTGCACGCACGCCTGTGCTCTGTCGGGCCTGTCTGCCCTGCGTCTGTGGGGGTCCCTGGCGGAGCCCTGGCCGGGCTGCTCACCACTGGTCCAGTCTGGTGGCTTCTCCTGTCCTCCCCAGCAGGGCAGGCCTACTGGTCCTCGACTGAGGTTGGCTCTGGATAGAACCACCCCTAAGCCTGGACTCAGAGGAACAGTTTTTGTTTCTTTAATGAGAGAGACAGGGTGGATGCGAGCTGGGTGAATGACAAGTCACGGTAAGCACCTTCATACCTGCTGAGCCACGTGACGCACAGGGCGTGTGCTCGTGCCTCCCGCGTCCCACGAGCGAGGTCTCATTCCCATCTTGCAGATGAGGACGCTGAGGCCTGCCCGGATTGCTTGGTCCTAGGTCACCCGGCAGCAGAGTGAGGACTTCCCCCAGACCACGTCTCTCTTCACCGCAGTGCAGTGTGCGGGCGGCACCCGCAGAGTTGGGGACCCTGCCCTCGACCCCAGGTCGCAGGTTCCTGCTGTGCCTCACAGAGTGTCGGCGAGCCCACTGCGGCCAGCTTGCCTGGTACCTGGCCGGGAGGAGGAGAGGCCAGCCTGATCCTGAGGGGGCCCGGCACGCCTGTCACAGTGTCCTCAGTGGGAGTTGAGCTGTGCAGCATTAAAAAGTGGTTAATGGGGAAAATATTTTGAACCAAAGACTAAATGTCAGGCCATCGTTATTATGTGGAAACCTCTGGAGCCTCTCATGTGGACACTGCGTCTGGACACTGCATCCTTACTACCGATGGGAGCCCTCTTGTCTTGGAAGGCATCAACATAGGCAGCGAGGCTCGGGTTATCGGAGTGGGTGGTTCTGTGGACCCCCCACCAGTTAAGTGGACACGTTACGGCACATGTTAATACACCCTCCCGAGAGTGTCTCCAGGGTCACCACAGTCCCCACATGCTGCCTGCTTTCCCTGCCCGTTGTCCCGGAGAGCACATCTGAAAGCAGTGTGTGAGATGATGAAGGGGTCACCATGAATCCACTCAAGTTTTTAAAGTCATTCCAGAAGGTCTCAGGAGAGCCAGTCAGGAGGACCCCGAGGCAGCGGCAGCACGTTCCCACCCACGTGGCCGCCCTCGGAAGGGTGCTTAGGAGGAGAGAAAGGGCTTTTCGTTTTTGAGGGACAGGCCCCGAGCTTTCTCCTGAGCTGTGGTCAGTGTGTGTCCGGCTGTGCGCTTCTCACTGGCAGCATCGCCCCGGCCCGGAGGTCTGCCTGGCACCCGCCCCCAGTGCCTTCGCCACAGCCGCCGCCTTCCAGTGAAGGACTCGGCGTTCTCTCCAGGTGGCGGGACTACAGGGGCCTTTGCTGTGGTTTTCTTTGGTGGGTTTTTATGTTTTTTGTGTTATCCATTTTGATAATGTATTATCTTTATAATTGAAGGAAAAATAAATAGCATATTTTAGAGCAAAAGTTTGTCTGGGACCATTTATAACATGACATTTAGCGAGTTCATTCCTTCCTCAAGGTGTCTGGGATCTGGGTACAAAGGCAGGCGTGCACTGCGTCAGCCACTGGGCTGCCTTCTGTTGCATTCCTGCCCACGTGTCTCGTTAGCACAGGGCAGACATGGCTGCTGTGGGAGAGGGCTCCCCTCCTGTTGGGACTGGCCAGTTCCTGCTGACCCAGGCCCAGCCACCTGTCAGCAGTTAGTACTAATCCCCCCTCCCCTAGACTCCTCCCCTCCCCCCTCTCTCCTCTCCCCTCTCTACTGTCCCTCTGCCTCTCTCCTGTCCCTCTGCCTCTCCCCTCTCTCTGGCTCTCCCCTGTCCCACTCTGCCCGCTCTGCCTTTCTCCTGTCCCTCTGCCTCTCCCCTCTCCCTCTCTGGCTCTCCCCTGTCCCGCTCTGCCTCTCCCCTGTCCCGCTCTGCCTGTCCCCTGTCCCTCTCTGCCTCTCCCCTGTCCCTCTGCCTCTCCCCTGTCCCTCTCTGCCTTTCCCCGTCCCTCTCTGCCTGTCCCCTGTCCCTCTGCCTCTCCCCTGTCCCTCTGCCTTTCCCCTGTCCCTCTCTGCCTCTCCCCTGTCCCTCTCTGCCTCTCCCCTGTCCCTTTCTGCCTCTCCCCTGTCCCTCTGCCTCTCCCATGCCCAATGTCTGAGCATCAGGCTATACCACTTCTCTTGTTTCCTCTCATGGGGAGCCAGAGCTGCCTCCTTGATCATCTTCAAGATTCCTGAAATTGGACGTGACCTGTGTCTGCCTGGCCCCTTTCTGGAGGATGAGACCCAGTTTTAGGATCCCTTGGTCACCCCAGGCGGGACCTCCTAGATTATAACAGACCAAGCCCGTCACAGTGGTCGCTTTCGTTTTCTCCAGGTGATACCGTCTTCAGCCTTTGGATCAGGAATGAGCATGTCTCCTCTGGCTAACAGAATGTTGGGTGGGGGTGGCTTCTGGGAAAGGTTACATCATTTCATAGAAAAGGTGCTAGCTATCTATTTTGAAGGACATCCTGTTGAGATACGACACCTGGAACTACTGCAGGCAGCTTGCAACCCAGCTGTGGAGGAAGCCGCCCCTGGGCATGGCAGGGCTGAGAGCTGGAAAGAACCTGGGTCCTTGATGTCACTATGGAGCTGCTGAAGCCACCGCCCCTGAGCCACCTTGCTTGCAGACCTCATGTGCTGGGAGCTGCCAAGTGTCCTAATCATTGGAGGCCATCGTGTTGGGTTTCCGTTGTTTGCAGACAAAAGTCTCCTTGCTGTCTCCTCCATCCCACCCAATCGCATACTGCCCGACCATTTCTCTTGGATGTTAACCTTCGTCCGGATTGCCCTTGAGTTGGGAGCTGCTCGGGTTGGACACCATCCCTTCCGGCGGGTTTCCCAAGGCTTGGGCTGTCCTCGTCAGATGCTCCCAGCGTGTTTTGTGCCACCGTGTTAGCTTGCTCGGGCTGCCATAGCACGCCCCGCAGAGGGGCTTAAACAGGCATTCGTGTCTCACATGCTGGAGGCCGGAAGTCTGAGATCAGGTGTCTCAGGGTTGGTTCCTTTCAAGGCTTCTCTGCTTGGCTTGCAGATGGCCACCTTCCCCGTGTCCTCGCCTGGTCATCCCTCTGTTTGTCCTAATCTTTTCTTATAAGGACACAGTGACAAAGGAGTAGAGCCCACTCTAGAGACCTCTTTCTAACTTAATTACCTTTTAAAGGCCCCATCTCCAAATACAGCCGCAGTCTGAGGTCCCGGGGGTTGGGCCTCAACATAGGGATTTGGTGGGGACACAGCTCAGCCTGTCACCGGAGCAGGCACCTGTCTGTGGCTGCTGGGACAGATGTCACCTTGGGACTTGGGAGAGAGGAGAGCCCTTCCACAGGAAAGGTGAGGTTACTGGAATTAGTTTTTCTGCAACCTCAGCAGCTGGGCAGAAGCATCCCCTTCTGCGTTACACTGAGTCACCGCGGTGGCCACAGGGAAATGCCCGCCCAAGGGCCAAGTTGCTGTCCTAACACAAGGTGCATTTTACTTTTCCTTTATTTCGCACTCACCCCTTAAAACTTCGCTTTTCTCTGCCTGGTGGTAAGAAGAGAGTGAGAGGCTGGAAGAAGGGCTGAGGAGTGCTGTGTGCTGAGTGGCTGCTGGTGGCCAGTCCTTAGCCTCCTCAGGTCACTGGGTGACCCACGGACGCTGCGAGGCAGGGGTGCTGCCTCCCTCTGCAGGTGCAGACGGGGCCCAGCTGCCTGACTTGCCAGTGGTCACAGTGAGTGGCCCGTCTCGGGCTTGGCCGGGCACAGCAGGGCTTGAGCAGTTTGCTTAAATGACTCCTTTCCCGGGGCCATTTTTCTTAGAGCCTCGGTTTCCTGATAGCTGTAGCCTTTCCTCTTAGCTAGTCTCGCCTCTAGCAGACAGGCAAAGACAGGTGGATTTGTGGCAAAAGACCCGTGCTGGCCACCTGCCCCATGCCCTGGGAGCAGGTCTCACCCAGGGGTACAGGAAGCACTTGGGGAGCCCAGAAACAGGGTGGGGTGTTCAGCTCTGCCTGAGGAAGAAGGGAATGAGAAGGTGAGCAGGGAAGGCTTCCTGTTAGGAGGTGGCCTTCACACCCTTAGCTTTGTGAGCTTTCATCTGACCTCATGCCACCACGGAGAATTCTTTTCCACCCTCCCTGAAAACACCTACGTTACCTGGGGATGATAGCAAAGACTGTGAGTGACAGGTGAGTCCGGCTGATTCCCGCAGTTATTCTGGTCCTTGATGGAGTTTAGGAACTGGTTTGCGACTCAGAACACGGAAGTTGCTGAGTCCCTACGATTTATCAGAGAAAAACGGGCATGTGTTCCGTGCGTGCCAGCACACAGCGGGGCCACAGGTGAGGAGCCGCTGAGCTGCCCAAGCCCACGTGACTCAGCGGCTCAGCATGGGAATCTCAGAGTGATTTTCCAAGAAGGAAAGTCACTCCCCGCACGTAAACTTCTCCACACCTCTCCATGGCTGATAAACTCCTCAGCCGGCGTCGAGGCAGCACTTCCTGCTGCCCTTCCTGTCTCCCTGCTGCCCTTCGTGGACCAGCCGGGCCTGGGGCTGCAGGGTGGAGTCTGTCTTGGGCGGGACCCGAACCCGAGTCTTGCTTGTGCCCACTGCAGAGTGCGGGCCTGAGAATGCTCACGCAGCGATGGGCTGTTCCCATCCCGCGGCAGGATTTGTGTTCCTGTGTGCTCCTGAAACAGCGGGGCCCTCATGGAGCCCGCTGCCGAGCTGTGAGAGCTCAGACAATCTGTCGCATGTTGAATTGTGTCCCCTGAAAAGGCACGTTCAATTCCTAGCCCCTACTACCCGTGAGCGTGAACTTATTTGGAAATAGGGTCTTCGCAGATTTAATTAAGATATTAGTTAAGTTGAGGTTGTACAAGAGTAGGGTGGGCCCTTACTATGACTCGTGTCCTTTGAATTTTTTTTTCTGAGACAAGGTGTTGCTCTGTCACCCAGGCTGGAGGGCAGTGGCGCGATCACAGCTCACTGCAGCCTCAAACTCCGGGTCAACCCAGCCTCCCACCTTGGCCCCCCAAAGTGCTGGGGCTAGAGGTGTAAGCCAGCGCGCCCAGCCTCTGTTGTCCTTTCAAGAAAAGGAGGAGCCACGTGGAGAGAGCAGAATGCCACGTGAAGTCATAGGCACGTGAGGGAAGATGGTCATGGAGGCGGAGGTCGGGGTGTGCAGCGACAAGCCAAGGACAGCCGAAGATTGCCTGAAACCCCCGGAAGCCGGAGAGACAGTGGGCCTGCGGGCACCCTGATCTCACACTTCCGCCCTCCAGAACTGTGAGAGAATAGATTTCAGTTGTTTGAAGCCACTTAGTTTGCGACAACTTGTCCCCTCCCTCAAGAGGCTGCTGCCTGCTGGGGGGCTCAGCTGGCTCTGGCTCTGCACAGGGGACCGAGACAGGGTCCCCGGGACAAGGTTGGCTCGAGCCTCTCCCCCAGCCTCAGCCCCTGCAGGCACCACCTGGCTTCGTGTCTTGGGACTGGGGAGACGGACGTGGTCAGCCAGTTTCTGCAAGTCAGTGTGGTCACGCGTGCGCCATTACACACTGTGTGCCGGGAAGGGCACCCTGGCCCAGCAGCGCCGAAGGCCCTGTCCCCTTCAGCGGAGCAGTTCCACACATCTTTTGAGGTGGTTCCGTGCCAGGCACTGGCGGTCCAGAGATGAGTCGCTGCCTGACTGCATGGAGCTCCCAGCCACGCCAGACAGGTATGTGAAACGTCCCAGAGCTGTAGCTGTCAGTGCCCCTGTTACTTACACAGCAATGCATGTGAAATCTAGGAAAGGGAGAAACCACAGACTGTAACAGTGAAGGATCTTTGAAAACCAAATGATGCGGAGCCTGTATCCAGCTGACTTAATAAAGGACAATGATTAGCTCCTGGAACAAAAGAGCGATGACTTCAGGGGAGGCTTGATCCAGCAGCTTGTCTGGAGACCCGTTACCTGCTCTCTGCTGTCTGGCAGGACTGGCCCCATGCTCAGGCTCCCCTCTCAGGGCAGCAGAGGAGCAGCACCACCCCGGGCTCCCGCCTTTCCGCCGGGAGTCCTGAGAAGGGGGAGGCACTCTCTTTTCCAGAAAATGTCTCCCAAGTCTCACTGGCTCTGTTAGAGTTCACACCCGTCCTGGGACCTGCTGCTCTCCCCGTGGGCATGCATGTGCTACTGGGTTTGAGCCTATCAAGGTCCGACCCAAAGCTAAGGATGCGGTCGGCCCTGCCCGAGCCACAGAACCGGGAGTGGTGGTTCCCCAGAGCGACACCTGGGCGCCGTCAACACCAGGAGCGGTAATCGTTGCCGGCAGGAAAACCCAGAGCTGTCCACTTGATGGGCCAAAGGAGGGAAAGAAGCATGGCTGCCGCCACCTCCCGGCGAGCACTGTCGGCCCGTCCTTCCAAACCTGGAGGGCGCATGGAGTGTGGCGGTAACTTTACCATGAGGTGA